CTTTCCCTTTTACTGTGTTGTCAGCTGTGCTCTGTCCCCCATGGGGAGGCAGAGCTAACACCCTTTGCAAGTCAGCTCTCCCGTGCTGCAGTCATGATGGCACTTGTGGATCACTTCCCTCTGTCATCCCAGCTTGCCCAAAAAGCAGCAGCAAGTTTGAGATCTCTCCCAAATACCTGCTCCTCTCACACTCTTCTGGTGGCAGGAGGTCACTACCATTCATAGAATGGTTTGGGTTGGAAAGGACCTTCAGATCACCTAGTTCCAACCCTCCTGCCATCACCACAAACAGTGAGATATGGTTCTTGGTTCTGCACCCTGTACCGGGCAGCCCCAGCCAAGTTTTGGCTAGCCAGGCTGATACACAGACACTAGCAAAGACAACCTGCTTCTTAACCTACCCTAGGCATGGACTTGCCCATGTCTCCAAGGTTAACAGCTCCTCAGACCAAAACTTTCCCCTTTGCTTTCATTTGAGAAGCAATCCACCAATTGCTGTGAGTTTTCTTGAACCTTTGGAAAACCTTTTCTCCCTTTGCTAGAGAATAGTTTTTATTTTGTGACTGCAAGATCCCATCTAGGGCGTCCCAATTCCATGCCCCAGTTAAACCAGCTTAACGTACAGGGCACGTGCAAGTGGTACAGCAAGCCTGCACTACCGGGCAGGATAGACCTGCATCCCTTACTACCCACCACATCCCACCTTGTCAAAGGTGCCTCAATCACACAATGGAGCTTCAAATATTAAGATTTCTCGCTCTGGTCTTTTCTGCATCACCTACAGAAGATGCTGTGAATCTCCTCTACAGTTAGAGGGACATCAGCACTTCGTACATGCCCAGGGTAGACAGCAGAAAGCAATGGAAAGAGACCCACAGACCTATGGAAAGGCCAGATTTGGCCATCTATCATCTTAAGCAGCTCAAAATTGCTAGTTTTGCTACCTCTTCCTCCTCCTTTCCCATTCTGAGCTTTGTTTTCAGACTATGGGATGAGATGTTTCTGTACTGGAATCCATCCTGGAGCACAGAATTAGATGGGACTCAATTTCCAGCCCCTAACAGGAAGGTCAGTGGTTGTCTCCACAGTTACTTTTGACTGCATCTTGGTCTCCCAAGGACGGGAGGCTGCTCTGTACCAAAACAACTCGGGACAAAGATGAAACAGCAGAATATCCCATGGGGCTGAAAGGATCAGCTATGAATAGATATGAACCAGTGGCTAGTTTCTTCTTCACCAAGGATCTCAGCTGGCTGCTCCTTACCTCAGCAGGTTTGAAGGACCACTGATCCAAGTGGAGTGGCCACCATCTAAGTCTAACTCACTACTAATTCAAATGACTAATGCCAGTAACATGCAAGTCATCATCTATTGGCATCTCATCATGGAAGAGGGAACCTTTGGTGTGGTCCCTGGACAAGCTCATGAGACAGATTGGCCACATCTCCTCCTTCCACAGTTAGGAAGCAAGACTGGAAAGCTTGAGCCTATCCCAGCTAACCACGCACCTCATTTAGGTGCTGGCTTCCTACAGTAACATGGTCAGAGGCATCCTCAGATGCAATTGAATGTCTTTAATGGATCCAGTGCTGTCCAGAGCTGCCCTGCTCCATGGATGGGAGAGGATTCACCTTACATGAAGTGTTTCCATCACATAGATCTGGTTGAGCACCTGAAGGACTTTCTGCCAGCCAGCAAAACCCCATCTGTTACTCTCCTCTGCTGTGTTCAGGGCTTCCCTTTCCTCACAGAGGAGTGGGGAACTGGTCCAGAGGATCTTTGCAACCTCCACATCACACCTCTTAGGAGATCACATGCATCATGCTCCCTTTGAACACCTCCAGCTTCTTGTCCCTACCCCAACA